ATGACAGAACCAAACACATTGAATTTGACTGACATTTTGTACGAGAGAGGGTCTCATCTCAAGAAGTATGCCTCCCTTACATCACATCCAGTATGCAACTAGCARATATCCTCACTAAATCTGTGTCAAGAAAGAAGCTAGAGGCGGATCTATCCAAGTTGGGAATGATAAACATTTACTCCCAACTTGAGGGGGAGTGTAGAGAACACTGATGTAGGCCCCACAGCTGTGGTCCCACTCTGTCCGTAGGGCAGAATGTTCCTAGTCATCCTAGGGTTAGCTATTGTTATTCTAGTTGTTATTAATTTTTCAGTTTTATATTATTGTGTGTTATGTAAATACCAAGGGCAGATGTGTCCTTTCATGTAACTAGCATAACCTATAAATATTAATAGAAGTGGCGGGGGCAGAATTATTCAGATTCTGTCCTTCCTTTCAAAATTTCTGTTCTACTGCTCTTTCTCTACTCTTTCTCCTCTTTCTCCTCTTTCCTCTTCACCTTCTTTTCGAACCTGAAATCTCTTAGTGTTCAAGACTGATAGCAGTCTTGAACAACTACAAAAGCCACCATGTTGAACACTATGGTGTTGACAATCGAGGACAGGGTTGACCAACTTGAGGTTAGCTTGCTTGGTTTGATGGGGACATGAAGGAGATTAAGGTGGCTTTGGTGGCGGTGATGATTTAGCTCGAGAAGTTTTCTTTGATGGCAAGGCATGGGAATGAGTAAGAGGCTTTTTGTAGTGAGGGCCGCAAACAAAACCTAAGAGCACTTGTCAAGTTCGTCAAACTTGACTTTGTCTATTTCTCAGGCGAGGACCCTCTGTCCTGGATGCTCAAATTAGAGAAATATTTATACCATCAGACTTTGGGATATCAAAGAGTCTCGGGGGCTTCCATTTACCTAGAAGGAGATGCCAGTGGTTTAGATCATCTAATCCCCAATGTAGCTGGGCTGATTTTACAAAAGGCACTCTGTGCTAGATTTGGACCAACAACCTATGAGGACTTTGATGAGCTTTTGTCAAAACTTAGACAAATGGGGATGGTGAAGGAAGATCTGGTTGAGTTTGAGAAAATAGCAATTAAGGTTTCCGATTGGTTTGAGAAGGCCTTGGTGGGGAATTTTGTTTGGGGGGGTGTGGTGAAAGAGGAGATCGGACCGGAAGTGAAGTCTTGGAGGCCGACCATTATCATGGCAACAACTGGCCTAGCTCAACTACAGGAAGAAAAGTTGAACCGGGCCAAGAAGCTCACCTGATCGGTTGAACCAATACTTAAACACCCTGGTTTGAGATCAGACCATATAGGTCCAAACTCCAAACAACCCCAAGGGAGCAGCCCAACTCACTATACCCTTTAAATGTCTCATCGGGTTGAGATGCAATATCGTAGGGTGAAGGACTTATGCTACAATTGTGATGACAAGTTTGGGCCTGGGTACAAGTGCAAGGCCTAATAGGTCTACTTACTTGAGAAGGAAGACTCATACATGAATGCCCAATTGGGCCTAAAAACCCATAAAAAAAGGAGGGTGATGGTGAGTTAATGTGGATGGGGGCTCCTGAAATTTCTTTACAGGCCTTAATTGGCAAAATCTCTCCTTAGGCAATTTAGTTTTGAAGAATAAAGCTCTCTTAGGTAAATGGAAGGGATTAGGGAATTTAGTTTTGAAGAATAGAGCTCTCTTAGGTAAATGGTTGTGGAGGTGGCCCTTAGAACTGGAAAGGCTGTGGCATGAGGTGATAGAGAATACATGGCAGTTCAGGAAATGGATGGGATGCTGGTGTATCGCGTCGAGCCACGTTGGCAACTCCTTGGAAAGCAATTCAGAGTATCCTCCCTTTTTCCCTCAACTTTATCAGGTATGATGTCAATTCTGGTACTTATGTATTATTTTGGGAAGACATCTAGGTGGGCAATTCTGCCCTGAAGGACAGTTTCCCTTCTCTTTATTCCCTTTCTTGTCACAAGAATAAAGCAATCTCACACTTTCTTCCAACATCTGTTTCTCCTTCCTCTCTGGATTGGGACTTGAGGGATCATGAGCTTTCTTGTGTTTCAGACCTTTTGTCACTACTTGGAAGTGTTTGTCTGGACCCTCTCAGATCTTATGTAAGAATTTGGTCCCCTAATCCAAAAGGTTACTTCACGTGTGGCTCCTTCTTTAAGTCCCTTTGCTCTTCCTTGGGATAGTTGGGTTTTCCAACTAAGGAGATCTGGTCTAGACCTGTACCTCTTAAAATTATTATTTTCTGCTGGGAGGTGTTCTATAGGAAAATCAACACTTCAGACCTACTGCAGATGAGAAGGCCTTCCATGTGCTTGTCTCCTAATTGGTGTGTAATTTGCAGGGCTAATGGTGAGGATTTCTCTCACTTACTTTTAACCTGTTCTTTTTCTAATGCTATTTGGAGCTGGATCTTTGCCTTGTTTGGGTGCAGGTGGAATTTGGCTACAACTGTAGATCAGCTCTTTGACCCTTCCTTCTTTGTGTGGCCCACAAAGATTGGTAAAACAATGTGGAGATGCATTAGAGCTGCTGCTCTATGGACAATTGGGGAAGAAAGAAATGCGAGGATTTTCCAAGAGAATGAGAGAAATATTCAGAACATAAAGGATTGCATTTTGACGAGGGCAATCCATTGGCTTAGATCATTGGAATCCTTTAAAATATACTCCTTTGATGACATATGGAGGAATTGGATAGTTATGGCTAGTAGCAGTACTAGGAAGAGCAGGGTACCAGCTGTGTGGGTGCCTCCTTCTGAAGGCTGGACAAAGCTGAATTTTGATGGTAGCATCCAAGGAAATCCAGGTCCATCAGGGATAGGAGGGGTACTGAGAGATAAAGACAGAAATATCTTAGCTTTATTCTCAGGCTCCGTGGGTATAGGAGACTATTAGAGCTGAGCTTCTAGCGGCGGTACAAGGCATTCAGATTGCAGATCAGTTAGGAGTTAAGAATTTTCTTATTGAAGGAGATTCCAAAGTTGTCGTGGGTTGGTTAAAAAATCCAGATTCAGTTATTTGGTGCTACAGGGACATTATGAGGAAAGTTAAGTGGTTTTCAATGAACATGACTGTTAGTTCTCAGTGGGTGGGTAGAACAGCTAATGCCATAGTGGATGGGTTAGCTAAGCAAGGGGTATCAAGGGAACATTTATTCTGGGCAGCTCTGTAAACTTTCATTTCCAAGCCTAATGTAGTACTTTGTTGTTGTTGAGGAGTGGAACTAGCTCGTGCCTCTCTTTGGGCAGTCTGTATTGTAAACATCACTTTGTTTCCTCAGAATAAATTACCATTCATTTATCAAAAAAAAGAAAAATCTCTCCTTAAGCAGTATGAATTAAGTGGGTTCTTATGGATCGACTGGTGTTAGCTTTTATTGATAGCAGTAGCTTGCTTAATCTTGTGACATAATTACTCTCTAAACAACTAGGATTGGCAGTTCACCACTCTTAACCTTTTTTAGTCCAGGTGCCAATGGAGGCCAAATTGCTTGTGATGGCCTATGTAAGGGGTTGCAATTGAAAATACAAATAAACTTGTTTGAGGTGGACTTGTACCCACTACAGTTCTCAGGGGCTGATGTGATCTTTGGGGTGCAATGGTTGCACAAACTGGGAGAACATGACCATGGAATTCTACTTAAATGGGAATCCATTTTACTTGAAGGGAAATGGGCCAAGGTCTTCCCGATCTGAATGCATTCAGGCCCTTATCAAGACCAGACATCAGTCTCAGCAACCTGTGTTCATGAGTCATGACCTGGATCCTATGGGCCTCACCTAGTCTAGCTCTCAACAGGAAACCTGTAATGCCCCCTATGGCACCCAATTGTAAACCTTGCAGAAGCAGTTCTTAGATGTGTTCTAGGAGCCACAAGGGCTTCCATCAGTCTGTCCAAAAGATCGCCACAAACCTATCACACTCAGTTGTTGTGGACCGGTTAACTAAATACGGACATTTTGTAGCCCTATCCCACCTATACAGTGCCATCCAAGTGGCTGAAGCATATGTGAAATTGCACAGTACACCTGGGGCCATCTTATCTGACACATTCCTTAGCTGGCTTCACCATTTGATGAGCTATCACCCCCAATTGGTTGTCTAAACTCAAAACTGAGGTCCTTAATAGGTGTTTGGTGACTTAGAAGAGAAGGAGAATTGAAGAGCTTGAACTCTATTAAGACAAAATTCAACTAGCAGGTTGGGGAGAGGAGGTGCAAGGAAGAAAAAAGGAGATATGAGTCTGGTGCACAGCTGTTTGCTAGGAGGGAAGTTTGATTGGTAGAGTTGGAGTTTGGAGGGTTTTTGGAGTGTGTCGGGAAAAGGAATGTCTGATAGGATCTTGATTGTTGGTTGTATAGGTTCTTTTTTCTCTTTTTGGTGGGCATTTTATATGGTGTAGACACTCTGATTAGAAAGTGGGATGGGATGTTGGCTGTTCATATTTGGATTGGTGATGCGTTATTATCTTTGTTTATCTCTTCTATCTTTTTCTTTTAATGAATTTTCTTTTTATTATAAAAGATGATTTTTATTGTAATACCACAATATGTATATTGGAATTAGTATGCGCAAATGCTCTCTCTCTCTCTCTTTAATTTTTTTTTGTCATGTATAGTTTTCTTGAAGAATTGGGTTCCTTCTTAGTTTTATTAACAATTAATATTTGTGCTGTAGGATGAGATACGGAGGAGTTTGGGCATATGCCCGCAACATGATATTCTCTTTCCAGAGCTTACCGTAAGCGATTTTTTGGTTCTGACTTATGTTTGATTCTGTATCAGTTATTTTTTTTTTACTATGCTAACTAGGTAGAGGCCTTTGGAATTTTACCTGTTTTCTTTTGCTTCAAAGTTAAAATTGAAAAGGTGAAGTTCCATGTTTAAGTTTTTTGATGGTTTCACTAAAATTTTCTTTTGTTGTATATTACTGGAGGGTTTAGTAGTAGTTAATGGTGCCTCTATTTGTATTTCATATTTTTATTATTTATTGAAAATTCTGGTTTGTGATCTTAATTGTGGATGGAGTAGTCATACGAGCCACTTTTTTCCAACTTATTTTTCTTTTTTAGACAATTTTCTTGATCTATGTTAATTATACTTTTGATTGTAAGTAAAACCCGAATAGGACTTAAGAAATCAGCACTTCTGCTGGTACTCTAAGCAAAATGTTTTTTGTTTTTGTTTGTGACATTCTGACATCCATGTAGTTTTCTTCTTAATGCTTCTTAATGTTTTATTACATTCCATGTTATTTCAACCAAAGTTTATATTTTCAGTTTGCTATGTGAGTCTTTTAACTTCATGGTATAGTTTCCTTTTTTTTTCTCTCTGGAAGACACTTGAGGTTTTGACAATAGCCAAAATACATTTATATCTATTATAATTCGGCCTGCCTTTGAGTTCTGTTAGTCTGATAACAACCAAGAAGAGAGAAGAAGAAAGAAGAAAGAAAGAGAGAGAGAGAAAGGAGGAGAAAAGGAGAGAAGAAAAGTCTGGTTCGAATTATGGAAAGATCACATCTCCCATTCGGCCAGACATGTTTTATATTACTAACATAATGGAAAAGACACATGTGCCCTTATTTAAGTGAGGGACACTAGTTCTAATATAATATTATAGATCAGCAACCTCAACATAAGTATAAAGACAGAAATACCCCTACACTAACAATATCAATCTTCTGTATATGTTTCGATACTCTACGTGTCCATAGATTCTCTTGATTTCATTTGGCTTTGTCATTAGAAGAAGTAATTTTGCCCATCCACCACGGTTTGCAAGGCTCCAATTGTGATTAACTATTGATTTGTTGCTGCATTATCTTAGATCTTCACCACCATTGCACATCTTGTACCTATCACTTTTGCATTGCACATTGTAGCATCCTTAGTTGTTCTTTGAGTCATGAATGTACTGTTTGGAGCATGTATCTAATGGGCTTTGCTGTCTCTACTGTTGTCCCCTTTGATTGCCAGACCTATAAATTTTATATTCATTTTCATGGGCTTTTCTGTCCCTACCATTGTTCTCAAAGATTCTATTCTTCTCCAATCAGCAGCGTAATATATTATCTATAAAAAAAGTACTCAGCAACATAATCTATGGACTACCACAGCCTGGAGAATCTTCCATTGAAGTCCTACCCTCAACATTGTAGTGTCCTCAGTAGTTCTTTGAGTCATGAATGTACTGTTGGGGGCATGTATCTCGTTCTTGGGTATCAATGTGAATTCAAATGGACAAGAACCTTATTATAATACCACTTGAAAGCATCTAAAAATCAATCAAAGGGACAATAAGATTCATAGTTATAAAATTAGGAAGAAACAATGACAATTTTTGTCTGTACACAGCAATGAGGAAGACGATAATTTGTTTGAGAAAAAATATTCACAACTTTCTATTTCTTTTTTGTTTCTGTATTTTTTTGACTTTCTTTATCTTTTTCATTCGAAAAGGGTTTATGTTAATGGTACAAAAGTTATTCACAACTATCTTACGTTAACCATATCTTATCTTATGGTTGCAGTTTTATTCACAAGTTTAGAGTCTCCATCCTGGTGGTTGCAATTTTACTACCTTATATTATGGTAACCATATATCTGCCAACCATACAAATCAGTTGTCGAAGCTCATCTTAAGTTGGATAGTTTGTTGTATTTATGGAACTTGGTCATTGGATATCTTGTGTTAGAGCTTATTCAAATCTCCTAATGCCCTAAAATATGAAATTGTTGGAGTGTTGAAGCTCTATTATGTATGATGAAAGAGGGTAATTTAGGAAGAAAATTCATAATCAGGGATTTTAATGTAATATTTTCCCCATTGAGGAGGACTATTTTGTAGTACAAAGCATCTCTCTCATAGTCTCATTTGAGACAGATAGATTTTCTTTGGTTCGTAGCCCCAATTTTTCTTTATCTTTCCCTAATTCTCTTCTTTCCTCTCTTCTCCCATGCCACTCATGACAACGGAAATAAAAAGGTCTCTAAATAAGTAATTAAGTTCAAAAAAGTCAAAATTACAACGGTTCAGTTTTAAATGAACACTAAAGAAATATAACTCCGTAGATGATTGAATAGTGGCTGGTTAACATGTGGAATTTTGGGTTCATCTTTGATCATGAACATTCTCACCTGTTGTTTGCACTACTTTTGCTCTCCTAACATATATGTGGTCACATTTTGTTAGGAAAGAGGAACAATTGACCTTTTGTCCAGTCTTGTACCAGCCTTTAATGTCTTCATATTTAATTTCATTGCTTTGGGGTTGATTTGGTATCTTTTTCCAGGCTAGTGGATTATTGGTGTTACTTTTTTTGGGTCCCACAACAGGACTTAAAAGGCTTTTATGTTTGTCTGTCTTAGCAAGTTTTTAATTGTCCTGTAACTTGTTTGGGGACTACAGTTCTTAAAAGGTTATAAAATTAGATTTGAGCATGCATTGGTGTCTATAGGGTTTTGGCAATAAAAATTTTTGTTTTTTTTGCCATAGTGGTACTGTCATCAGTGTTTCCCCTTCATTGTCTTCTTTCTCTTCTACTTTTCTTCTCTAATTTGTTAATAGGTATTTTCTCTTGGGTTGGCTTGCATTATGTGTGATTCTGGTAGCACTTTATTTGTATAGTGACACTAAATCTACATAAGAAATTGTACCTTACAGGTCAAGGAACATTTGGAAATATTTGCCATTTTGAAGGGGGGTGATGAAGGGTCATTGGACAACATTGTGACTGAAATGATTGATGAAGTAAGTTTGTAGTACTTGTGTAACCAATTATTCCATGAAATATTGTTGTGGTTTAAAATGTGTGTGCATCTTAAGAAATCTTTTGGATGAAGTTTGGTTGAGATGAGTTGACTACAGGCCCCTTTGCTAGTATGTACTAAACAGTGAAATCCCTTCTGTTGATAATTTAGGCAACCAAATAATTGATGGGTGGGTTGAATATTTGAACTCAGTAGAAGTTATTTAGAGTCAATAATTTATATTGGTACTATTTATTTATTTATTTGATATGGTAGTGTTTTGTATAAATTGCCTCACTGATACATAAATATACATGCCTTGCACATGGATATGCATGCCTTGGGGAAGAAAATTCTTACTCAGTCTGTGGACTTAATTAGAAGCATATTATCTTCAAGAAGTTTTTGTTAATTAAACAATTTCAATGACCCAATATTTTCTTTTCTTTTGCTCTTCAATCCTGCAAGCTTTTATTTTATTTTTTGTTTTATCCCTTTTAATAAGTTTATACTGATGATACCGTTGTCAGGTGGGTTTGGCAGATAAAGTCAACACAGTTGTTAGTTCTCTTTCTGGTGGCATGAAGAGAAAACTGTCTCTTGGAATTGCACTCATAGGAAATAGTAAGGTACATGGCATTTTCTTTTATGATGTTTAAAATTTATTAATCAAGAAGAATGATTTAAAGGAATCATACGCAATTGTTACCTCCTACCCATGTACAGGTAGAGGCCATGCACGGCACAGCCCAAGTCAATAAAATCATTTTGGAAAAACAAAGGATGATCAGCTAAGACTGAGTAAGGACCGATCATCAAAGAACAAGCAAGATCTTACTCCTCTTAAGCCTTTGT